GGAAGGAAGGAAGGAAGGAAGGAAGGAAGGAAGGAAGGAAGGAAGGAAGGAAGGAAGGAGGAAAAGAGAGAGAACGAAGATCCCTGGAGGAGACGGGGTTTTGTGGACATGACTGGCTTTCCAGGCCTGGAGGGCAGAAGGACACAACCCAGGCAAGGATTCAGCGCTGCTCACTGCCCTGTTGTAGCACCATGCAGCTGACTGTACCATTCATGTGAGGTTCAGGGATTGAGCGCCAGCAGCAACAAGGAGCCACAGGAGATTGTACACATCCACATCAGGAGATGCAGGAACCAGAAAGGAGGCTGAGCCGGGCCCGGCACTGCATTACTCAGCCATCCTACTGTGGCACTTCTGCTTCTCCCTGAAATTCTGTCAGTGCTTGCTTCATACACTGGGAGATCTGGTGTTTGCTACACATATGTTTGTGATTGTTATAACTCCTCAGAAAATTGAGCCTTTTATTAATGTTAAATGTCCTTGTTTCTTCTAACAATCTTTGATTTAAACTCTATTCTATTTGATATTCATACAGATGTGCCTTACTATTTGCATGGAATATGTTGTTCCATCCTTCACTTTCTTTTTTTTTTTCTTTTCTTTTGTGTTTTTGAGACAGCGTCTTGCTATGCAATTCAGGCTGGCCTTGAGCTCACTTTGTAGCCCAGGTTTGCCTCGAACTCCAAATGATCCTCCTGCCTCAGCCTCCTAAGTGCTGGAATTACAGGCATGCACCACCATGCCTGGCCCCACCCTTCACTTTCACATACATATGTCTTCACATCTAACATGAGTCTCTTGTGGACAGCATTTTGTGGGATCATGTTCCGTTCTAACAAGCTCTGCTTTTGACTGGGGAGTTTAATCCATTCACATTGAAATAATGGTGGACATAGAAGGAATTACGTTTGCTATTCGCTGTTTTCTGTTATGTCTATAGTTATTTTGTCTCTCATTTCTTCCACTACTGCTTTCCTTTGTACTTTGCTGATTTTTTTTACAGCGGCACATTCCTCACTCATTTTCTTTTGTGCATATTCTGTAGATGTGTGTGTGTGTGTCTGCATGCATATGCACATGTGCATTTCATATAATATCCTAAAGCTACAACATCCTGTATTGAAGTGATATCAACTTACACATACTACTTAACCATACAAAAACTCTACTTGTATGTAGCTCCATCTTCCCATTCATGCTACTGACATCACGAGTTCTGCCTTTAAACATTACATACTCATTAGCATAGATTTACATACAATTATTTTTGAGTACTTGCCTTTTCAATCCTGTAGGACCTACTGTTTTGAATGTGGTTTTTTTTTATTTGGGCATGTGCATAGCTGCTGTGCACCTCTGTCTGTTTTCCAGACTCAGGTGAGGCTACTTCAGCCAGGTTCTGGCGGTTGTTTCATTTGTTTTGTTTTTCAGAGCTCCCACGGTGAACTAGGGCCTGCAGCTTCCTGCTCCCAGCTCTGCTGGCATGGGTGCACTCCAGCAGTGCAGAGATCAGATACCGTATGGGGCAGACTCAAGGCCCTCCCACTCCACACACAGAGAATGGATTCAGATATGCACACCCTACAAGCAGGATTTATGTTGCTACTCCTTTTGTTTCTGTCCATTTAGTTTTTTAATGCTTTAGTCTCAGATTTAGTTTCGTCTGCTAAAGTGTAACTTTGTAATGATTTCGCTTCATTTGACATTTTGGGGTTTCTGTTTATTTCTACTTTTTAAATTTGGATAGAAGAAATTTCTCCTTTATTCTGTGGAACCTTAGCCATACCGTGTCTTACTGAATATTGAGCCCTGAGTTCGCACTGCCCTTCTCAATAATTTGCTAATTTGCTAAACTTTCACTTTTACTGATTTTTATCACTGTGTAATATTTTACCACCTT